TGGAAATTGGTTGATCTTAATTTTTTTTAAGGAAGTGAAAGTTGTCTTGTAATTCATATAATTTACATTTTTTTTCGAAGTGTCAATTTTCATAAGTTTAACCGATCGTGTTGAATAGTTTACTATAAATTTTCTTGTATCTATTTGCATGAATGCAAACCTACCAACATTAATAGACTTGCACAAAAATTCAAAGAGTAGTATCATTTAACTGTATATACATTTTCGCAAATTTTGTAAATTGTATTTTAGGTTTTTTTAATAATTTTAAGGTAGCTTTCTCTCGCTCATTAGTTTTACTTAGCAAATGGTTGCATAGAATGTGAGTAGTATTTGTTGCAGTAGTAAAATGGCTGTTATGGCTTTTCAGTCCATTAGCTGGAGTAATTTTAAGTCACTAGAAATCAACTTTGTATTTTTGTATTCGATTTTTTTCTTATGTTCTTGTTTATGGTTATGGGTAGGGAAGTTTTTGTTTGCAAATTTTAAGTACTCGTAGTTAGCATTACCTACATTGATCTTCACTTTGAATTGTCATTCTACGTTTACATTTTTTCTAGCTCATAACTACAAATTTTGTCTACCTACTTGCACTATTCAATCTCTAATATGACTTAAGATATGCCGTTGAAAAGTAAAAGCACCTTTGTTGCAAACTCTTGTGGCTCAAGTGCTGAGCGCATATTACCATAATGTTACTTGAAGTGAAATTATGTACCGTTAGCGCATTATTCTACATACAGTTGAATGCCTAGCAGACTCTTCAAATTCACATCAGTTACACTTAATTTTGTATGCAATTTATAACATCAAGTTGCCATGGTTATCGCGCCAATAATATCAGCGCCGTATGTCAAACAAGACGCCAACCACCCACCACTGATTAACTGTGTGTATGTATATGCATATTTAGTCATTCATTCAGTCAGTCGGCAGCTTTTGCATACATTTACCACTTTCTTATTTTCCTGCCCACACGAAATGAGCGCCGCGCTTATCTCTCACTAACGCTGATGATGATTGAGTGAGTAACAGCTGATTATTGGCTGCTATTACAGGTGAACCTCTCTCACTCAGCAGCATATTTGTCAGATAATGAGGTCACTAACAGTGGCATTACGAGGCAAAGCTGACACAACATTTTGTTTTTTTTTGGTATTAAATCTTTCTCGCATCTGTGTTTGTCTCTCTAATGTTCGTGTGCTCAATACATACTTTCCTTTCGTCTGCTTCATTAAAAATCTATTTGCCCAACCTTGCCATTCGTATTTGACAGCGTGTTTAAATTTCCTTTAGTATAGATTTACATTTAAGGCTTGTGTCATCATCATAAGCTTCATCATCGTATTATCATCTGTGAAGTGAAACATCACCGCATCGATGGCAGCGACGACAGCTCGTTCATTATCGAGTGCACTCTACTCTTCTTCGGTTCTGTGTTTTTCCTTCATACAGTTCTCCACTTCTTTGTTGATTTGTCAATTACAAGGTAACGAGGTAGGCGAATCAGTGGCACAATCCAGTAGGTTCCTTTTTATGCTAAAAGTTATTGTTGAGTGTTTACGTGTCGCATGTCGAAAAACAAATATGTATGGGTTAGATGCTTGATGGGAAACTAACAGATTGTCTTAGTCTGATGAGTGTCATCAAAAACTTCAACAATGTGGTTGGATTTTTGATTGGAGCACGCATGGCAAATTGCTTTTGTTGAATTTGGTTTGAGAAAAGTTTAAGTGATTGATATTAATTGAAACTCTTTGGAAAAGGGTCAGTTAATGGTTCTAAAAGTTTCTTATACAAGCTAGCGCAAAGAAAACTTTTTAGTAATTTGAAATTATTGCGAAAATTTTGATAAATACTTACATAAGTATGTAGTTAAACAATTTTACAGTAAAAGTTTCTACAGCTGTACGTTTCTGGTTGTTGAGGTTAGAGCGACGCGCGGGTAATAGTAGTGGTCCGATTTTCGAGTTGCTCATTTACTTTTTTTTTTAGTTAAATATTTGTGTATATCCATAGGAAAAGATAGTTGCCTAACATGCGGGTGCGTTATTCTTCGTTTTAGAAATCTTACAAGCATCGTCAACGTAGCATTGATAAATGGTAGTGTAAATACTGGTTTTTACTATGTTCGATTGTAATCCAAACCCTGACAAATAGCCTATATAGCCGCACATATACACTACTAAAAACCTATGCTGATGTAAATCAAGCGTTATACTTACGGTGACCATATTAACCAACGTAAAATAAAGGACATTTTTTTCAAAATGATTTGGGAAAAGTACCTTACCCATATCGTAAGTTAAATCAAATATTTACCAGTTAATTATATTATTTAATTGTTCATAGTGAACGACGAAGCCAGCACACAGTGGTTCAAAATTGGAATTTAATAATCATATTCCACCGGAGCCTTAATTTTCAACCAATATTTACTAGAAACCAAAAAAAAATATTTATTTGGTGAATTTTCAAGATTTCCAATTTTTTGTGTGTGAATTTTATTTTGTTTTTTTTTTTGTTTTGGGAGAACCATACAATTGTTTTCAACTAGTATTTTTATGTACCATTTATTAAGGAGAATACATTTTCTTCAAACTTGCTACTTTTTCTGCATTGTGCACTAAAAAATTTAATATAATCAAATAAAAATTCAGAAATCAAGCTCAACTGGCCTCTTGCAAATATTGTAAAGCTTTCATAAAAAAAATATAAATTAATCAAATTAAGTGAAAAATAAAGGCTCCAGAAATACTAACACTAAATTCCAGTTTTGAACCAATGTGTAGCACGGGGTTTATTGTTCTCTTTCAGTGGAACTGGAAGCTCAGCGTGCAACACCATCCTGGGCGCAACTCTCCCTGTGCTTTATAGATTGTACAAAGATTGCCGATTAAATAGAAACCCTTAAGTGCGAAACAAACTGGGGACATTTTTATTTTTAATATTCTGCGTTTAAAAATTTTACTCTGAAAAATGCAGGTCCAATTTAAAGGACAGTTTAAGAAATAAAGGACAAACGGCGTCCATTATTTTGAAAAAAATTATAAAGGACAGGGGGTTAAAACAAAGGACTGTCTTTTAAAATAAATTACGGATGGTCACCGTATCTAGATTGCAATATATTATTTGGTTTATCAATTAAATTGCGCTAAATTTTTAAATAGGTGGCAACCCTCCTTTAAAATATTTTCCACTGTAAGCCTTCTTAAAACTCTTTAGTTTGATACCCACATAGCAATATATCATTTACTTTATCCATTTAACTGAGTTAAAATTTTAAAATAGATGACAACCCTTCTCAAAAATATTTCCAGCAGTTATCTTCCTTAAACCTCTTTAATTTGGAACCCATATTGTAATATTTCNAGTGAAAACCAGCATTTAGTTCAATAACTAAGCCATAACAGTTTTAGGTTGCAGTGAACGATCCGTTTGATTTTCAGCCATTATTTTCGTTTGCTACCAATTCTTAATCTTCATTTTACAATGACAGGTACACATTAGAAAATCTAAACACATTACATTTTCAGAGTATTTTATCTTCCCTTGAAAAACATTCATATCAATTTATTTTACAAAAATATGAACGAAAAATATTTTATGTCACTAAATGTGTTCGAAAAAATAAATGAAAACCCTGACACATTTATAAATTTTGTAGAAAATATTTTTACTTTTTGTATAACTTCTTTTTGTTTTATTTTTTACTTTTAACAAACTAGCANGTTCAGCCATTATTTTCGTTTGCTACCAATTCTTAATCTTCATTTTACAATGACAGGTACACATTAGAAAATCTAAACACATTAAATTTTCAGAGTATTTTATCTTCTATTGAAAAACATTCATATCAATTTATTTTATAAAAATATGAACGAAAAATATTTTATAGTTCTGTTTTTTTTTTTTTTGTTTAATGCAATGCCATTCGGTAACAGCTCCTAGGTGCATTACGCGCTCTTTATGTCACTAAATGTGTTCGAAAAAATAAATGAAAACCTTCACACATTTATAAATTTTGTGGAAAATATTTTTAATTTTTGTATAACTTCTTTTTGTTTTATTTTTTACTTTTAACAAACTAGCATACATATCTAAAAAATTCGTTACTCATACATATGTCACATAAAATATACCATAAACACATATGTATGTATGTACATATGTATGAATTATAAAATATTTATGTTTAAACTAATACACATTAAAGTACACACATACAATATAAATTGTTTGCAAATACAATACAAGTTTCAATTTCTTTTATACAATTAATAAAATCGATGTTCTTATGTGTTTTTTTTTCGCTAGGACATACACATTTATTGGCTGGCTTTTTGTTTTGTTATTTTTATAAATTTATATATTTTTGACGAATAAACTGGGATACTTTTTGCGCTAGATAAAACTGAGTTTATTAATGTGAAATTTGTGTTAAGAAAAAAAGTTTGCTTTTAATTTTGAACCAATAAAAAAAATGTGCCTTTGAATGTTTGTATAGTTAAGTAGAAGTTGAAACCAATTGAACAAGATTTGATTTTTTTGAAAGCTTACAAAACTTACAAAGGAATTCTACAAATTTTATTCCCCAAAATCTTTAGTTAAATGGCGTTAGAGCTGTGTGCTTGATAGATAGTCGATTAAGTACCGTTTTCACGGATAAAAAAAAATTTAAAGATTAATTAATTTTGAATTAAAATTTATTTTTAGCGCACAACAAAAACTCAATACANCTTAAAAGGTGTGCCAAACGGTACACTAAATTTAATTTTGAATTAAAATTTATTTTTAGCGCACAACAAAAACTCAATACATTGCCAATTTCCCAAATATCGAACAACGTGAAAGGACCTGCTAAAAATTTAAAAACAATTTTTAAATTGAGGCTATTACTTTATTCATCGTAGGTTCGATATTCATGAAATCTACGAAAATTTTTTTCACTGAATTCGAATTGCTACTGCATGTATTGTATTGTATTTTGAAAGTAAAATACACGCAAATCGACCTACGATGAATTCAGCAACGGACTCTTAAACATATTTTTTCTTCCTACACTGTTGAAAATTATCGATAACATATTATTATGTTCAAGATTTCTTCATTATACTTAATAAATCCATCAAATATGACACCTAATATAATAATACATGATTGCTTAGGCAGCTACGAGGGAATTTTAACCGAGTTGAGTGTTCCTTTAGGAGTCGTTTCGAATAAAACACAGCAGTAGTTAGCTAAACATTTTACGCATATACATACATAAATAAAATTTCCACATATTTGCTATTTTATACATAGTACATATTTTTTATTTATATTTTTCTTTGCGTCAGCTGATTTATTTTGATATTTTACATGCATATACTATACATATATGTATATATTTCATTGACTGCTTTACATCGGCAGCATTTTAAAGTAAATAATTTCCCTCGATGAATGTTTTATTGTGGTATTCTTGTGTTAGTTTGTGTTGCTTTGTTGCTCGCAATTTAATTTAATTTTCGATCCTTTTTTCTGACTTTTTGCAATTTGTTATTTATTTAAATATAATAATATTTTACTTTTAATCGCATTATTGTGATTGTTATTTTTCAATTAACTATTTTTTCTTGTATATTATTTGTGTTCGCTTATTGGTGTGCCACAAGCGATTAAAAAGTGTGGCTTCGTGATTTAATTTTTTGGAATTTATTGGCTTTTTTACCATTTATGCGCTGACTTTTCTATTTTCCATTTAACTGCTATCAAAATTTTTGCTTACTTTCATAAGTCTTAAATATTTTTAACATTAAAAGTTAAGTGTTTTCCATTCCAAACCACTTTCACCTTTTTTTGTTTTACAAATTAGCTAATTTTGTTGTTACTGCTACGAGTATTGTGTGCGGAAAAAAACTTATTGTTCATCCTCTGGTGGCATTTTGGCCAAAGTTAGCAGTATCATTGTGAGTTCTTTACGAGAGATTTTACCATCTTTGTCATAGCCCACACCACGCAGTATGGTCTCCTCGAAGGCTTTCAAATCTTGAGCATCGTAGTCATCCTGTGATGAAAGAAAGACAAAAAAAAAGAAAATTAGCTTGTCATTTAAGCACAACAATTGGTTTTGACAACTAAGCAAAGTCATTATTCATGTTCGTTTAAATTGCTAATCACTTGTTAGCTTATAAGGCGATTTTGCAGGCAACTTTTAGTTGAAAGCAACATTCGCTGTTCTTTCTAATAGCTTTCAACGAAGTTGGTCTTTTGATTCAACTAATCGCCTGTAAAATCATTTCATATAAACACCGTATTATGCATACAAACATACCTTCTTCACCAATTCAAGCAGATCTTTTAAAAATCCTTTCAGCTCCTCGTTTTCTATTGAGCCACTATTATCCTGAAAGTAACAAAAAGCGAGAATAAATTTAAGTAATTTCATACATTTGTATAAAGCAAGGAAATTGACAACAAAAAAAAGTACATAATAGCACTCTCCAAATTCGTACTATAGGCTTTGGCAACCTTAGTCATGAAGCGATACTCAGTTGAACAACGCGTATTTTTTCGGTCAACATAACCAGGCATCTGAGTCAACAGTCAGCCGCTTGGTTCAGAAATTCGAAGTAACTGGATCGGTGCAAAACGCGAAAACACCCATTGGATTTTTTAAAGGTCGAACGGTCGAAAATATTGCTGCTGTGGAACAAAGTGTGGACCTTTTCCGAAAATAATGCCGGTAACACTGAACGTTCTCCTGACATGAACGCAAACTATTTATGGCCTGAATTAGATGAAATGGACTTGGACAATATGCGGTTTCAACAGGACGGTACCACTTGCCACACAGTGCGTGAAACAATGGCTCTATTGGCTCAAATGGCCATCGAGATCTTACGATTTGACGCCATCGGACTTGTTTCTCTGGGGCTCCTTGAAAAGTATGGTTTATGCTAATGAGCCCGGGACAATTCCTGAGCTGAAGAACGAAATTACGCGTTATAAATGAAGTACAGCCCGAATCTTGCCAAAAAGTCATGGAAAATTTTTATATGCGCGTCCTGTGTTGCCAGAGGAGTCGTGGTGGGCATTTAATGGATACTGCGATTCATACATAAATGCCATAGCCTATTACTGGATTTCCACTAGCAAATATTTTAATGACAAGTTGGGCATTAAAAAATATTCGTGTCATTACGATAAAAAAATTGCCATTATATACATTTCCATATGGGATTTTTTTAATGCCTCCAATTTTTTGTCATTTCAATGCCTAGTGGAAATACGGCATAAGAAACATGCTGAATTTCAACGAGTGCTGAGTTTAAATAATATTTAAAAAAGAAATAAGTAATGTGTTTCCTTTTTTTTAACAAAAGCAACCGTCGCAAGTCCATTTCCCACCATCTGCTTTCCTTTAAGCCAAGTTACTTATCTAACGCAGTGGTTTGATTGATATTGAAACGATTTGATGAAATGTAAATAAGATTGCCAATACTTTGCCAGCAAAACCAAAACACACATTACACACATGCCATTACGAAAAAAATCCTAGCACACCAAAACTAGAACGAGCTNATGGGCATTTAATGGATACTGCGTTTCATACATAAATGCCATAGCCTATTACTGGATTTCCACTAGCAAATATTTTAATGACAAGTTGGGCATTAAAAAATATTCGTGTCATTACGTTAAAAAAATTGCCATTATATACATTTCCATATGGGATTTTTGTAATGCCTCCAATTTTTTGACATTTCAATGCCTAGTGGAAATACGGCATAAGAAACATGCTGAATTCCAACGAGGGCTGAGTTTAAATAATATTTAAAAAAGAAATAAGTAATGTGTTTCCTTTTTTTTTAACAAAAGCAACCGTCGCAAGTCCATTTCCCACCATCTGCTTTCCTTTAAGCCAAGTTACTTATCTAACGCAGTGGTTTGATTGATATTGAAACGATTTGATGAAATGTAAATAAGATTGCCAATACTTTGCCAGCAAAACCAAAACACACATTACACACATGCCATTACGAAAAAAATCCTAGCACACCAAAACTAGAACGAGCTGCCGAATAGAATGCCTTAGTTGAGCATTTTGCTATGTGTGACTACACAACTGAGGCGGGCGGATTTTAAGGAAAAACCCATCTACCTAATCCAATAAAAGAGAGAGTGTGTATAAAGTTATTTCGTTTTTGGCATTACAACAGAGCTTTCAACATCAACCAAATCCTGCTGTGGTTGCGGCAATGACTCTGACGCGCTCAATGCGCTATTCAGATGGTTTCAATGGCAAAACAATTGACCGCACTCAACTCAACTGAAAGTAAATAGCACAGCACAACAATGCGGAGTAGCAGCAGAGCAACCAAATCACACAATAAAGCATGACATGGCACACTGCAAGTCATATACATACATACATGTAGCTTACCAATCCTTGTATGCAGATACAAAAGGATGTGTGTGCATTTCCGCCGATTGTTGGCGTAGTGTAAAAAATTGTGTGCTCCTACTCCACAAATTACGATTGTGCAGTTTTTTTCGCACTTTATTTGTGGGTATTTTTGTGTTTGTGTACGTAGATGCAAAACTAAAATTGCCAAATAATTCTTTGTTTACTCATATGTACACATGTACAGTTAGCCCTGAGTGCGGACTGTAGTTTGAATTCTGAACTGAAAATGCAAAATAGAAAATTAAAATTCCATTAATTTCTTTGCGCCATAAATTAGAGAAGGGAAGAGATACGCTTCTTCCTATCGACTAACAAAAAAAACCGTCTGTAACCGTACCGTGGCGAACAGATTCTTCTATTTGGTACCTATATTTAAGTGGAAAAACACAAAAGCTAAAAAATCAGCAGCGTCTAGCAGAGGTGCAAGATAGGAGCTTCCCAATCAAAGTTATAAAAATAGAAAATTGATATTTAAGAACAATGCTGCTAANAAAAAGCTAAAAAATCAGCAGCGTCTAGCAGAGGTGCAAGATAGGAGCTTCCCTTATTTAATCAAAGTTATAAAAATAGAAAATTGATATTTAAGAACAATGCTGCTAAAATTGTTTAACAAGCTGAATTCGCCATAAAAACCTTAAATAATAACTTAAAGCTGCAAACTGCCCACTGGGTTTCAACAAGCTGCCTACTGCTAAAACTTTTGTATTTCTTCACTTCCAATATTGTTTTGATTTCGATGGCCATTACATGTGTTTTGCATTTATAGAATCACAGCTGGCAAAATCACTAAAGCATTACTCCATCTTCCTTTTACTCCTTAAGAGTGCTTGAAATACTTGCCAACTTTCATCGACTCTTCCACCAGCTTGCGGAGAGTATGACCCAAGTCTGCATGTCAACTGAAAATGTCAGTTATAAATTATGTAAAGTTTTTGCATTACTTTTTATAAAAATTTTTCACTCTACATTGCCCCATCAAACTGTTTTGCAAGTGAAACATATCAACTTTACAAATTTATTGCCAATTCTCGGTATTGGCACGTGTACCCATTAAGCACTTGTGGCTCTTATTTTTTTATTTATTTATTCAATCCATTATTTATTTTCTTTTACTTATGGTTTTTGATACGTTTAGTGCAAAAAGCTTCATTGAAGTGCAAAATTTCATTAATGTGTTGTGATTGCTTAGGCGTCGAAAAGGCCATTAAATGAATTTAGTTGAAAATTTATGTAAAGTAAACACAAAAAGCAAGGGATGGCATTAAAAATTGTGTTGCAATATTTTGGCTACATTTAGAATTCATTTCATTTAAAATTCAAATGCGCTGAACAGCTGGTATGCTTTCAAAAAATGTCCGGTCCTTTAAATTGATAAAATGAATGGGGCCAAGCCAGCCAGTTATTTTAGTTTACTCTTCAATAATTTTAAATGTGAAGGTGTTGATTTAAAACGGACAATGTTTGATTGTACGAATATTTGTTTTAAAATGGGCCAGCAATCAAAAGCCGTAAATTTGCGGAATTTTAATCGGCCAACTAATCAACTTCATCGCTTTTACTACATGGTGTGGTCACTAAACCATCAGCTGTGACGTAAAACAAATTAGCTTTGTGTAATTCTTTATTAAATTTTATTTGAGAATACAATTTAAGTGAGATAACTGTCAACAAAAAAGATTTGGTATAAAAATTAACCAAGAACCATGATTCAATAATTAAAGGTTTGCTCATTAGCGACATTCGAGTTTTGACACTCCCTTATCTCCTTTACAAAAGCTTTGCACACACACACGAACCCACAAACAGTGCCTTGCTAAAGAAGCAGATTTTGTCAAGAGGGAGCGAGAAAACTGTTTTTTGAGCAAACCTTTTATTATTGAATCATGACCAAAAACAACGACGCAAATTTATTGTTGATAAATTTCATGAAAAGCCACGAAGGCCAAGACAAAGGAATTTAAAATCGCTAAAGTAGGGGTGGTATCGGTACTGAAGATGCATTTGGAATCATTGACGGCTGAGCGTTGTCCTAAAAGCAGCGTTAAAATGGGTCCTCGGGATCAAATCTGGGATGTGAAAATAACAGAAGCGATAACGAAAAATCGAGACAAGTCCTCTAGATAAGTATGTTGCAAAAAAAGTGAAACCAGCCCACCTCTGGCGCAAAGACGCAAGAAGAGAAACAATTAAGAAAGCCGTACGAAGAAAAAAGCAGCAAAAGTTAGCGACAAGCAGCAAATATATATATATATATATATAAACCCGAGCCCAAAAGCTCTGCAATTTGCAAAACTTGCATTGTTTTGGACGATACGTAAAAGCGGACCTCAGTTCACTTCCGGGACCGCAGTACTACACGAAGTTCAAAAGCGAAACACTCCCGGATGCAGACACTTTAATTAATATTTGTAGCTAGGTATCTTAAAAAACGATTACTGCCATTTAAAGGAAATCGTGGAGGAGCCGGCAAACTACGCGAGATCCACCTTTAACTTTCTTGAGTCTAAAAACATTGACTTTGTGCCAAAGATAGTGAGTCCGTCACAGTGGTCCACAGTGTCGGGCTATTGAGAGGTATTGGGCAATAGTTAAAATCAAACTATGAAATATGTACCAAGGAAACTGCCAAAAAAGAAACGGCTGTCGACTTGAAATGGAACAGGGCCACAAAGCAGGTCAATGGCAGCGCTCAAGGCGCATCAGTACAAGGTAGTGTTGATTGAACAGCTAATCAGGATATTTTTGTCTCTACACTAGTATAGGAGAATGTCATCCAAGACGAAATGGCGCAACTTTAGGATGTCAACAAAATGAAATGACGAACATTATCTCCTATTCTCTTTCGTTTTGACGGGACTTTTACTTATATGCAAGTGCCACCACCTTGTATGGGTGCGCCTTGGCAGCGCTGTCGTAAGGTTGATGACGAATACATATACGAAAACATTTGCGAAAGGAGTGTGAAAAATGTGATATCCAAAAAGTTTCCTTTGTGAATAATATTGAGTAAAATATGTTATGTTACAACTAAAAAATACTACCAGCCCACTTATTTTTACTGCTTAAAATTCTCAGGTTACGTTCGGTTCAATCCGTACATTTGATTACTGATAACTTTTCATTAACTTTTTAGCTTCTTATTAACCGACTTCCAAAAAAGGAGGAGGTCATCAGTTCGTCGGAATATTTTTTTTTTTTTTTTTACCAAATTAGTATGGGACCACCTCTGAGACACTACCTTTCCGTTGCAAATTATTGAAATCGGTTGACGTGGTGCAAAGTTATGCGGTAACATACAT